TTGATTAAAACAACAACACAATGCTCCCTTTCTACATTTCAAGTTAGCAAAGAAAGCCCCTTTAAATTAAAGCATTTCTTTTCATCTATTTATACCCTTCTCTTCTCTCTCCTTGACAAGGGATAAACATCTTAGACCACAAAGGAGTGACAGTTGCTAAACTCAGGTTGTGCAGATAGAAGCAAGTAGAAGGTGGAAGGGTAAGAAAGCCAGATAGCTTCCTAGGACCTCCTGCATTGGATTCATGAGCTTTTTTTCCCCTCTAGGGAGGCCAGAGTTTGGCTCTGCTACACATGAGAAACCCAAATCTGTATGCAAAAATAGACCTAGCCACTCTGACATACAGGTGACCCTGATAGATCAACCTTATACTCCTAACTTCGTCATATTCCCATTGGGTAGAAGCGCAGAGGGCCAAGACACTGTTGGGTCATGCCCGTTTTCATAACCTACAAATAAATATCGAGTATCTATTATCTATGGAGTTGTGCTATTTATTGTAACAAGAGCCAGTACAAAAGATGCTTTATATATCACTGACTTTTGTAATAATATCTGTATTGTTACCAAAGTAGTTGATATGTTTTGGGGTCAGCAAGTGGCATGGTGATTATGGATGCTGAACTCCCACATGGCTGACTGCGGTTCGAGTCCTAGACCTGGCAGCCTGCTTTCTCACATTCCTTCACTGGACCTGGCAGCCTGCTTTCTCACTTTCCCTCACTTGCTCTCCCTCTCTCTCTCTCTGTCCCTCTCTGGCCAAGTTAAAAAAATAAATAATAAATAAAGTTAAAATAATCCTTTTAAAAAAAAGTTGATATGTTTCACTAAGTTAACTAAGAAATTAAATACTTTGGCCACTTTGGAATTCTTTCAAACTGGCCTTAAAAATTACTTTCCTTGAATAATTAAGATCTGAGATGATTAGAAGCTCAGTTTTAAGGAGAAGGATTAGGATTCCTTTCTAGGTAATAATCTAGGTGCTGAAATGTTACAGATGGAAAAGTAAATTAACTTCATTTACTTAATAATTTTTAAAGAGATTTTTGCACTTTGGCCACTTTGGAATTCTTTCAAACTGGCCTTAAAAATTACTTTCCTTGAATAATTAAGATCTGAGATGATTAGAAGCTCAGTTTTAAGGAGAAGGATTAGGATTCCTTTCTAGGTAATAATCTAGGTGCTGAAATGTTACAGATGGAAAAGTAAATTAACTTCATTTACTTAATAATTTTTAAAGAGATTTTTGCAATAAGGTGCATATACTTGCTGGAGAGACAGAGAGAGACAGAAAGTGAGAAATCACCGCCCAGGAGGATGGCACGCCACAGTCCCTTCTCTTCCATTCTCCTCTTGGAATTTTGGGCATGCATGCACATGTGCCCAGCGTGAGTTTAAGCCAGTGGACCAGGGACTCAGACTACAATCAGCTATGTGGGAGTCCAGCATCGTAACCATTACACCATCTGCTGGTCCCACTTAATGTTATTTCTAGAACATGTGGTTGTTATATTTTCATTTGTCTCTTCCACCTAGCTGTTGAGGGGTAAAACAGTGAAGTGGCAGTCAAAATAACTAATAGTAAATTAAAATTAAAATCAGAAGATTAAAATAGTATCCTTTCACATTATTTTATCAAGGTAAATGAGCAGACTGTGGTTCTTTTTCTTTTTAGAGAAATTTTTGCTATAGGGTACATGCATTTGCCAGAGAGAGAAAAACAAAGTGAGAAATCACCACCTGGGGAGAATGGCCACTCCACAAACCCTTCCCCTCCATTTTCCTCTTGGGATTTTGGGCACACATGCAGATGCACCCAACATGAGTTTTAAGCTGCAGGGTCTGGCCCCCAGACTGTTGTTCTTAAGAGTAGCTCAAATGAGGGACCAGCAGATGGTGTAATGGTTACATCACTGTATTCCCACGTAGTCGACCACAGACCTGGAAGCTTAAACCTCATGCCAGGTGCGTGTATGTGGCCCAAAACCCTGAGAAAGTAATAGAGGAGAAGGGATTATGGCATGTCCATCCCACTTCGATTTCTCGTGTTCTGTCTCTCTGTCTCCCTGCCAAGCACACATGCACTACAGCAAAAACCTCTCCCCCAAGAAAGAATAGCTCAAATGGGAAATTTCTGAGATGAAAACTTCTTCAGAACTATCCCTCCACCACCATTCCCCCAAGAAAAGACAAAAAACAAATTTATTTTTAATCTTAGCCATTGTGAAATAGGTTAATTTATCATTCTACCAGAGAAGAAGTAAAGACTTTGTCTTTCATTTAAATATTAGATGTAGAAATTTTGTGTTAATACATTTTATTGCAGTCTATAATGATAGAAAGATGAAGTTTATTCTTTATAGTACATAGAATAAATTACCTCATTAACTTATTTTTCACCTAAGATTATTCTAAATTGATAAATTATGAAAGGAGAGGGGCCCGCAAGTGGTGTGTGATTAAGGCGCTGGACTCCTATATGACTAACTGTGGTTCAAGCCGCGCACCCAACAAGTTGAAAATCATACCAGGCATGTGTGAATGCTTGCCCAAAATCCTGAAAGAATGAAAGCAAAGGGATTACAAAGTGGCCATTTGTCACTTTGCCTCTCTCTCTTTCTCTCTCCCCCTAGTAAGCTCACATGCCCTGTGGCAAAAACCTAAAAAGAAAATAATCAAATGGGATACAGTTTGGGGCCAGCAGGTGGCATGGTGATTAAGGACCTAGACTCCCACGTGACAGTCCCAGACCTGGTGGCTTGCTTTCTCACTTTCCCTCCCCCCTCTGTCTCTGTCTCTGTCTCTCTCTCTGATAAGTTCATGTGCCATATAGCAAATTAGATAATAAAAATAAATAAAATTAAGTCTTTTTTTAAATATACATTTTATATAGTAACTAAATAGTCTTTCTGAATTTATTTAATTTTTTAGAGAGATTTTTGCTATTGGGTGTGTGCACTTGTATACGGCATGTGCACTTGCTGAAGAGACAGAGAGAAAAAGTGAGAAATCACCCTCAAAGGGGGATGGCCATACCACAATCCCTTCTCCTTCATTGTCGCCTTGGGATTTTAGGCATGCACACACACAGGCCTGCCATGAGTTTTAAGACTCCAGGTTCAGGACTTGAACTGCAGTCAGCCATGTGGGAGTCCAGGGCCCCAACCAGCATGCCACCTGCTGGCCCCATCTTTATGAATTCTAAAAACGATTGTATGGTCCTTCAGCTTTATAGTTAAACTCCGGATGAACATGATTTCTTTCTTTTTTTTTTTTTAATCCAAAATTTGTTTATTGAGATGGTTTCTCACTCACCTTGAGTCAGGATGCTTTTGGTGTTGTTTTTTTTTTTTGGGGAGGTTTTTCCTATGGGGCAGACAGACAGACAGAGACATAGAGACAGAAAGCGAGAAATCACCCCCCAGGGGGGATGGTCACGCCACAATCCCTTCTCCTCCATTCTCTTCTTGGGATCTTGGGCACACACACACATGTGCCTGGCGTGAGTTTTAAGCCACCGGGTCTGGGACACCTAACCACGGTCGACTACGTGGGAGTCCAGTGACATAACCATTACGCTAACTGCTGGTCCTGAGTCAGGATGCTTTTAGTGCTGCTTCCTCCTGAAGGAACATCCTTCTGTAAGCCTCGCTTTTCCTCCTGTAGGCTGGCAGAGGACAGTAGAGCAGCCAACGCACAAAACTACCGTTTGTGCCTGGCGAGAGACGGTGGTGATTTTATAGCATGCTGGGCACTTCACGTCCATGAAGTAGGAATTTGAGCTCTGCACCAGGCACTTCTTGTGTTTCCTCTTCTCTTCTGGAGAGGGATGAAGGAGGTCCTTTGTGAGAGACATTCTCGTGGGGAGGTCGTCACTGCCAGAAAACGAGGATGATTTCTTTTAGCCTTGCCATGGTTAACTGTGTTTGCCTGCCTGATACTTTGCTGGGGAAAATGATAGGTTCCCTACGCGTAGACATCTAGGAACTCCTGCTCATGATCCAGTGTAAACGTTATGTTACAGTGTAATTATGCAGAGCTTTTTTAGGATAGACAAGCACATTTCACAATCCGCTTTACTTTCTGCCTCCTTAGTATTGGTGCCAGTGCTGCCATCCATCCAAAGAGTGCCCCTGTCCCCTCTCCCAGTGCTTTTTGCAGTTTTGTTTTGGTCACAGGTTCATTCCCTGCCTTCCTGAGACCCACCCCAAAACCAAATCCTCTTCTGTGTACTGAAACCCAGACCTTCCACCCCTTAGCAGTCTTTGCTATCTCTGTCTGCCACAGAAGATATCTTAGAACTTTAGTTAATAACTCTGTTGTAAAGTTGATACCCTTTTTTCTTTTTCTTTTTTTTTTTGGGAGAGATTTTTGCTACAGTGTGTGTGTTTGCCGAAGAAACAGAGAGACAGAAAGTGAGAAATCATCTCCCAGGGAGGATGGCCATGCCACAGTCCTTTCTTCTCTAGTCTCCTCACTTTTTCTAAGAAATTCCAAATTGAAAAAAAAAGAAAGAAAGAAAGAAAGAAATTCCAAATTGAAGTATTGGGTTTTTTTTTTTTTTTTTTTTTGAGAGGTTTTTGCTATAGGGCGTGTGCACTCGCCAGACAGACAGAAAGCAAGAAATCACCCCCCAGGGGGGCTGGCCACGCCACAGTCCCTTCTCCTCCATACTCCTCTCGGGATCTTGGGCACACACGCACACGCGCCCGGCCTGAGTTTTAAGCCACCAGATCCGGGATGTGAACCGCAGTCGACTATGTGGGAGTCCAACAACATAGCCATTACGCTAACTGCTGGTCCCCAAATTGAAGTTTTAACCAAGGTTTCAAAAATCATTATCTTCCTCATATGAAATGTATTTGGGTTCAAAGCAGTAGACTCCTGTTTCTATTCTGATGACTGTCAGCAACTCTTAACTCTTGAATCTGCCAGCTTTTCTGAGTTAAGTTCTATTCCTATTTCAGTTTTTTGGTTTTTTTTTTTTTCCCTTCTTGTAGTGGACATTTGGGAACAATAAAAATAAGAAGAAAGGAAAAACCAGAAAAATAGAGAAGAAAGGAACCATGAAGAAACAAGCCAACAAAACCGCCTCCTCAGGCAGTTCAGACAAAGACAGTTCAGCTGAGAGCTCGGCCCCTGAGGAAGGTAAGCAGAGCAGCCCAGACCTGGGGGTGAATCTCACTCATGGTTGAAGATACTGCGGAAGAGGTGGGGAAGAGAGGTCCCAGCCATGCAGCATGACTGCCTTTAGAGCAGTGGCCCTCAACATTTCCAGTGCTCAGGGAGCCCCTGAGAATCTGAGTGACGTAAGGAAAATGCATGCAGTTCTGAAGATCAGTGAGAGCCCTGAAATCTACTCTCGGGACCTGTAAGGAGTTCCTGCCTTAGTCTGGACTGACTGCTCTGAGTGCCTTCTCCCTTTTTCTTGGTTATGCGTGGTATGACTGAGGAGGGACATCTTTGAACCAGATACAAACCTCCGTAGAGGGCCAACATGTGGCCCTGGATCCCACATGGCCGACTTTGTAGTTTGAGTCCCAGACCCTGCAGACTGAGAGACACTGGATCCAAAATCCCAAGAGAATGGAGAAGTGACTGCATTGTGGCCTTACCCCTGGGAGGTGTTGTCTCGCTTCCTCCCCTCTTGCCTTCTCTCTGTTTCTCTGCAACAAGCACATGCATCTTAAAGCAGTTTTTTTTTTTAAGTAGAGATTTTTGCTGGAGGATGTTTGCACTCACTGGAAAGACAGAGAGTGCGAAATACCATGACACAGTCTCTTCTCTAGTCTCCTCTTGGAATTGTGGCCACGCGTGCACATACACCCGGTGTGGGTTTGAAACTTCCAGATCCAGAACTCAAACCGTGGCCAGCCATGTAGGAGTCCAGCAATGTAACCACTATGCTGTCTGCTCGTCCCTCCTATAGCAGTTTTTATTTCTAATTGTTTTTTAAAGAATGTTTTTATTTTAAATTTATTTATTTATTTCACTTCATTTTAAATTTGACCAGAGAGGGACAGTGAGTGTGAGAGAGAGAGAGAAAGTAAGTCGCCAGATCCAGGACTTGAACCATGGTCAGCCATGTGGGACTAGAACTGGGGTCAGCCATGTGGAAGTCCAGCCCCCTTAACCACCACACCCCCTGCCAGCCCCCCTATAGCAAATTTTAAAATATATTTTTTTTCAGGGGGCAGCAGGTTTTATGGTCATTTAGGTGCTGGGCTCCCGCTTGGCCAACCACAATTCAAGTCCCAAACCTGGTGGCCTGAAAATCACACTGGGTATGTGTGCAGGCATGCCCAAAATTCTGAAGGAAGAATGAAGGATTATGGCATGGTCATCCTCCCTGGGATGATTTCTACTTTCCCTTTCTCTGTCTCTCTTAGGCAAATGCGCACACCTTAAATTTTTTTTTTTTCTTTTTCTTTCTTTTTTTTTTCTTTTTTTTTTTGAGAGGTGTTTGCTATAGGGCATGTATGCTCGCCAGAAAGGCAGAGAGAGACAGAAAGCAAGAAATCACCCTCTGGGGTTCTCCGCTTGGGGTCTTGGGCACGCACACACATGTGCCTGGTGTGTAGTTTAAGCTAGCAGGTCCAGGACTCGAATTGCAGTTGACTACATAGGAGTCCAGCAACATAGCCATTACACCAACTGCTGGTCCCGACTTTTTCTTAATGTGCACATTATATGTATAGTGTAGACAGAACAAAATTAAATTGGTGATGTTAGCAATGGGATAATCTAAGTAAAAGATTTTCCATAGGGCACATGGGCTTGTGAGAGAGAGAGAATGAGAAGGAAAGTGAGAAGTCACTCCCTGGGGGCATGGCATAGTACAGTTCCTTCTCCTCCATTCTCCTCTCAGGATTTTGTACATGCACACACACATGTACCTGGTGAGATTTTCAAGCCTCCAGGTCCAGGGCTTGAGCAATGGTTAGCTGTGTGGGAGTCCAGCAGCTTAACCACCATGCCAACGCTGGCCCCACTTACAACTTTTTCTGTAGGTCTGCAATTTTCTTTAAAATAAAGGAGTTAAAGGGCCAGCAGGTGACATGGTAGTTAAGGCACTGGAGTCCCACATGACCAACTGTGGTTCGAGTCTTGGACCTGGTGGCTTGCTTTCTTGGGTTACCTTCTTCTCCCCCCCCCGCCCCCCGTCTTTGGTCAGATTTTTTAAATAATAAAAATAGGGGCCGACAGGTGGCATGGTCGTTAAAGGCACTGGTCTCCCACATGGCCAACTGCAGTTCAAGTTCTAGACCTGGTGGCTTGTGTCCTCACTTTCCCTCTCTCTCTCTGTCTGATCAAATTGGAAAATAATAATAATAAATAAAGTTAAATAAAATAATAATAATAATAAATACAATAAAATATTTTTTTAAACAAAATAAAGAAGTTGAATTTAAAAGAAAAGCTGTTTCGTTAAACCACCTTAAGTTTTCCTGACCTGTGTTTGCACATACCAGAGGCAGACTGAGCACAGGTCTATGTGTTACTTTTCCTGGGGGAGCCAAGGGTATTGACTGTCAACACTGGGGATCACCTGTGGTCTGTCTTTGTAGCAGAGTGTAATGTTGTGTTTGGATGTTCGTTGCAGGTGAGGTGTCTGATTCTGATAGCAACAGCTCCTCTTCCAGTTCAGATTCAGACTCTTCTTCAGAAGATGAAGAGTTTCATGATGGCTATGGGGAGGACCTCATGGGAGATGAAGAAGACAGGGCCCGTCTAGAACAGATGACAGAAAAAGAGAGAGAGCAAGAGCTGTTTAACCGCATAGAGAAGAGAGAAGTGTTGAAAAGAAGGTAAGGTTGTGCCTCCCCACCTCTTCAGTTTATGTCTTGTTCCTTGTACTTCCCCTCTTCTTCATATCTGATCTGACTATGGAACTTGATGTTTGGAAATGTGATTGTTAACATAACGAGAAGCAGGGTTTTGATTGGTGGTGCAGTGGTAAAATGTGACACTCTGCGAGGTTGACCCACGTGGGAAGGTTCCTTCTGGGTTTGTGCTGAGACCTCCCTGAGTTCACTAGGCATCGTGGGCTGGCTGAATCTAGGGCCAGATCTTGGCATCAGTGCCCTGTTGGGGATGCTGTCTCCCAGTATCTGTCTGTCTCAGTCATGGAAGAGATACGTAAATAAAAGTTGAGAAGCAAACCATATGTTTCCATTTAAGACTCCATGTGTTTACTCACTGCCATTGGTTTTACTAATGAGGATTATTGATAAAAGGTAGATACTTAGGCCTATCAACATGAGGAAACCTAAGAGTAAACCTCATGAGGGCAAAGACTTTGTCTTGTTTACTGCTCTGCTAACACAGTGGGTAACACACGGATATGCACTCAATATGCGTGGAATGAATGATGAAGGAACTGGCCCAAAGTTTACCAATCTAGTAAGTGAATTTCAGGCCAGCAGCTGGCATGGAGGTTAAGGTACTGGATCCCGCATGGCCAACTGCATGGTTCAAATCCTGGACTCCATGGCTTAAAAATCGTGACCAGGCCAGCAGGTGGTGTGCTGGTTAAAACTCTGGAATTCCCACATGGCCAGCCATGGTTTGAATCCTGGACCTGGCAGCTTGCTCCCTCACCTTCTCTCTCTCTCTTTCTCTCTGCCTGTCTTTCTTTGGCAAAAACTCATGTGACATAATAATAATGATAAATAAAATAAATAATTCTTTTTAAAAAGTCATGCCAGGCCATTTGATAGAAAGTGGTTGAATATGGAAGATTTTTTGCTGAATGAAGCAAACCTGGCTATGAAAGAGAGACTTAATAGGTACTGATTGTCCGCACTCTATAAGAGATTGAAAAATTGAAGGATGTGAAAATAGTTATGGACACTGGAGACAATGTGGAAGGAGAATGGGGAAGGGGAAGAGTATGGGGTAGGAATTCAGGGAGAAAAAATAGAGATGTAGGACATTTGTGGGACACAGAAGTGCTTTAATTACCTGTCGATGATAACATGTCTAGTATTCTCAACTGGACTGGTCTGAGGTGTATTCATGTTGGGTAAATTCTCTTTACAAGCCAAATGATGTATAGCGATTTGAATGTTTAAAAATAATAATAAATACTAAAAAATTTTTTAAAATACCATGCAAGGCACATGCGTGTGTGTGCCCCAAATCCTGAGTGGAAAAGGGATTGTGGCATGACTTCCGTCCTATAGGGTGACTTCTCACTTCTCACTTTCTTCCTCTGTTTTTCTCTGGCGAGTGTATGCACCCTATAGCAAACTTAAAAAACAAAAACAAAACAAAGCTAGTAAGTGTATTTCAAACTACATTTCAAATGTGAGACCATCTGACTCCATGAAATACATAGGGCAACATCTTTCCTGCCTCACATTTCCTATTATTTATGCAATTTTGTAATTCAGACACTATAAGCAGTACCTTAAAGAGAATTAGAGATTGTTTCTGTCTTGATAAAGGTAAGTGCATAACCTGACTTTTACTGAGAAATGAGATTGCCTTGATTTTAGAGTGCAAATCCAGTAATTATTCAAAGTAAAATGGAGGGGCCATCTCTGTTGGCTCGTGGTTAAAGGAGTGGGATCCCACGTTGCTGACAAAAACATTGTGGCACGTATGTGTGCATACCCCCCAAATCCTGACAGGATGGAGAAATGGACAATGGCATGAGCATACCCTCCTAGGAGTGCTTTTTTCCTCTTCTCTCTTTTCTTTTTTCTTTAAGAATTCTTTTATGTCCATCCAGAGATGGACAGAGCGAAAGCAAGAAAGAGAGAAAGTGAGAAAGCAAGCGGCCAGGTCAGGGATTCGAACCGCGTTCGGCCACGTGGGAAGTCTAACGCCCTTAACCATCATCCCACCTGCTACCTACCCCCTTTTATCCATCTCTCTGGCACACACAGCCTTTGGCAATTAAAAAGAAAGGAAGTAAAATGGGAGTATATCAAATGATATGTAAAAATTAAATTACGAAATAGTGTTCGTTAGCTTTTATGTTTTACATATTGACTAAATTGTTCAAACTCTCAAGTGAAAATAACTCTTCAAAATTTATATTTAGAGCTCTGTCTCCATAGGATTTAAGACTTGGAATCTCTCCTCGTTATATACAAGTTAGGTATTTGACTGTCTTTCTAATATGGTTCTTGTATTTCTTTTATTTTTAATTGCCAGAGTGTGTCTACACTTGCTAAAGAGGCAGAGAGACAGAGAGAGAGGGAGGGAAGGAGAAAGCACCTCTGGTGGGGTGCGGTCACACTGCAGTCCCTTCTCTTCCATTCTTCAATTCTATCTGGATTTGGGATACACACACAGATACATCCAGTGTGTTCTCCAAGTCTCTCAGACTGGGATTTCAACTCTAGGCAGCTGTCTGAGATCCAGCTACTTTAACAAGTACGCTACAGAGCCAGCTCCAGTTTATTGATATATATATATATATCAATATGTGTGTGTGTGTGTATGTGCATGTATATATACGTTATATGTATGTACCTGGTGCCTAACACAGTGATTGGCACTTAGATATACTCAGTATCCATATCCATATATATATAGGTATATATGTGTATATGTGTGATGTGTATATGTACTACACATGTGTACACATACATAACTATATATGTGTGTTTATATGTATATATATGCACATGTACATACATATACATACACACTCACTTGTCAGAAAAAGGCAGAGGGAGAAGAGAGAGGTAGGAGCAAGAAAGCACCCCTCACAGGAGATGATCATGCCATAATTTCCTTTCCATTCCTCCCTCTTTTTCAGATTTTGGGCACACATGGACACATCTGCTGTGTTTTTCAAGCCACTGGGTCTGGGGCTCAAACCACGCTATGGGCCATATGGGATCCAGCTGCCTTAACCATGATGTCAGTGGCTAGCCCAGTTTTTGTATTTTTTTAAAACTCAAATTGCTTTTTATATTCAGAACCTGTTTCAGTTTTCTGAACTTATGCCATATTTTAAATGGCAAAAATTCTTCCTTATCTCCTAACAGAATTTCAAGATAAAAATAAACTTGGCTTTTGTCTGGGGAAATAAAAGTCCTCAACTAGAATCCTTCCCTACCTACCAAACATGAAAGGAAAATGGAAGCATTTTCTTTGGCAGCAGTTAGCTCCATTTCATCTGGGAGCCTGTTTGTCCTCCTGGAGACCATATTAAGTGTGGTGAGTTATCCTAGACAAGAATGTTTGGCTTTCTGTCAACAGCAAGCAATAGACACTTGTTTTGGATATGAATGCTTCCAAGGTTACCTGTATTGGAACAAACAGGACTTCCACAGTGCTGGGGCTGCCAGCTGGTTAGGGGTGACTTCTAAAACTTCTGTTTCTGACCCACGCAGAGGAAGAAGTCATCACATAAGGCCAGTGGGACCCTATGATAAAATTCCAAAACAGCTCAAGAGCGACAAGGGGCTCATCTCAAACTTAGTGCGTGTACACACACACACACACACACACACACACACACACACGTATATATTTGCCATAAGGCATGTGCACTTGCTGGAGATGGGGGGGTAGGGGAGTTGGGGGAAGGTTGTGTGAGAAAGCACTTCCCGGGGGAAGGCCATGTCACAGTCCCTTCTCCATTCTCTTCTCAGAATTTTGGGCATGTGCACATATGTATCCAGCGTGTTTTTTGGCCACTGGAACTGTGACTCGATCCTTGCAATCAGCCACATGAGATCCAGCTGCCTTAACGACCACACTAGCGTGGCATTTATATTTTTTTACCTTATATGAATGAACCAAGTTGACTGATAGTGTGACTTTTTTTTTTAGTGACTAGGAGATGTTTAGGGAGATGATAGTTAAGACAGGTTCAGATCTATACACAAAAACTGATTTTTTATAGCTCACTTTGTAACTTAGGGCAGTACAATGTAATATCTCAGAAATTTCCTCCATCTTTTTCACTTCGTAAAGTCTTTATGTGGATCCCATTTAATCTTCGTAACAGTCTTATTAAGTATACGCACACGAGCATCCCCTTCTACAGCCAGCAGCACCAGTAGTGAGATGACATTTTCAGTGGTAAGATTCTCGCGTGGGGTCAGAGAGCATGAAGAGCAGCCTGGTTGTGGAAAGAGCACTGATATTTTCAGTCCGGAGGTCTAGGTTCACAGCGTACTCACTGCCAGGTAGTCTGAATTAAACCACTTGCCCTCTTCCTGCCTCAGCCTCCTCCTTGTAAGCCTTGAGTGAAATAACACGTAAGAACATTTCTGTAAGAACATACTATGTCAGCATAAGCTAGTATTAACTTTTAAAAATAATTTTATTTAAAATAACCCACTTAAAGTGTATAAGATTCAGTGGTTTTTTATAGTCACAGAGCTATACCATCATCACCGCAATTTTGGCACATTTTCGTCACCCCAGAAAGAAAGTCAGCTCTCGTTGGCAGTTGTTGTTTCCCCTCAATCCACTCAACTTTAGGCAGCTACAAATCTACTTTATACAGATTTTCCTGTCCTTGCTGTTTTATATAAATGGAATAATATAGCAAATCATCTTTCATTCTTTTACTCAGCATGTTTTTGAAGTTCATCCATGTAATGTATTGGTACTTCACTCCTTCCTTTTTCTTTTTCTTTTAAGATAGGGTCATTCTATGTCACAATCCTTTTGCCCAAACCTCCTTAGGAGCTGGGACCACAGGCACATACCACCAACTTCGGCTTTTTAGGACAGGCAGGAAATTGAACTCAGGCCTCTCATGTGGCCTCAGCCCATGGAGCAGCTGTGTCAGCCAGCGAGCACCCCTGCAGCTGGCCATTCACTCCTTTTCATGGTTGAATATCCCATTGTGTGCACATGCGTGTGTGTCTGTCACGTTTTGTTTGTCCACTCTTGTGTTCATTGATATTTGGGTTATTTCTACCTTTTTATTTGAATGCCCATTTTCAGTTCTTTGGGATACACACCTGTGAGGGGACCACTGTGGGTCGTATGGTAACTCTATGTTTAGCTTTTAGAGAAACTACAAAACCGTTTTCCATAGCCGCCACATCATTGTACCTTCCCGGCAATAATGATAAGAATTCCAGTATCTCCATAGCCTTGCTAACACTTGTCATTTTTTTTTTTCTAATTTATAATACTCATCCTGGTGAGTATGAAGTTTCACTGTGATTTTATCTTCTATTTTTCTCATTACTGATGATTTTGAGCATCTTTTTATATGCCTTATTAGCCATTTATATGAAGTACTTCAAATAATTCATGAAAAAGTGGAAGTGGAGTATGAGTTTATTTTGGTACAAAATATAACTTGAAATCCATGTATAGTATTTTCATAATATGTGTTTTCCATGATCTTGTTTTTTAAGTTTATTTCATTCATGACTGAGAGACAGAGCGTGTGCGTGCATAAAACCAGCACCCTCAACAGGTCTCACACCACGATCTGCCCCCTTCTTGCCCCTCTCTCCTTCCCAGCCAGCCAGGATTGTGGGCACGCATGCCCAGCAAGTACACGCTGACTGAGGAGCCTAATCTGCGATCTTCCATATGGATCCAGCATCACTTGAGTAGCATGTTACTGCTGCACCACCAAGCCAGGCCTCCATGAACTTTTTGAAAACCTCTTGTATGTTTTTAGAAAAATATCTGTTCAAACCTTATTTTTAAGAATTATTTTATTTAATTTTATTCATTGTCATTATTTTATTTATTTATTTATTTATTTATTTATTTATTAAAGTTGACCAGAGAGATATAGAGGGAGAGGTAAAGTGAGAAAGCAAGCTGCCAGGTCCAGGACTCAAACTATGGTCAGTCATGTGGGAGTCCAGCTGCCTTAACCACCACGCCACCTGCTGGCCCCTGTTCAAACCCTTTGCTCATTATTTAGTAGTTAGTTTGTTTGCTATAGTGCAAGTGCACTCACAGGGTTTGCGAGGGGTGTGGGGGTGGTTAGTGGGGGACAGACAGACAGTGATACATCATCACCCCTCAGGGTGAGTGGTCACCCTGTAACCCCTTCTCCCCCATTCTCCTCTTGGAATTTTGAGCATGTATGCACACATACCTGGCATGACTTTCAGCCTGCCAGGTCTAGGATTCTGAACCACACAGTGGCCATCTAAGATCCATCCCCTTAACCACTATGCCAATAGCTGACTCCCTTTGCTATTTTTTTTTCTTTTTTTTTTTTTTATGAGAAATTTTTGCTGTAGGGCACGTACGCTTGCCAGAGAGACAGAAAGCAAGAAATCACCCCCAGAGGGGATGGCCACACTTCAACCCCTTCTTCATTCTCCTCTTGGGATTTTGGACATGCATACACATGTACCTAGCATGAGTTTCAAGCCACTGGGTCTAGGACTCAAACTGTGGTTTAGCCATGTGGCAGTCCAGCACCTCAACCACAATTCTACTTACTGGCCTCCCCACTTTGCTCATTTTTAAACTAGGTTATTTGTCTTTTTGATGTTTAAGATCTTTAGTGTATTTTAGTTATTGATCCTTGTCAGATATATGATTTGTAGATAACATCTACCTCAGATGTTATCTTGTTACTTTCTTGGTTATATTAATTTAATGCAATTTTTAAAAAGTTTATTTCTTCCATGAGAACGTAGGTGTAAGGTACATTGAAATTTCTTTCAGGAAGCCAAAATGTTGATTAACTCTTTTCCTGTACTTATTTCCTTTTTCCTATCTATTAGAAATCAGTCTTTACATATATTTCATTGCTACTTAAAAGCCAAACAAATATCTTTTAACCAGATTTGAAATCAAGAAAAAACTAAAAACAGCCAAAAAGAAAGAAAAGAAAGAAAAAAAGAAAAAGCAAGAAGAGGAGCAGGAAAAGAAAAAGCTGACACAGATTCAAGAATCTCAGGTAGGAGATTCACTTGACCACTGAATAAACCTCTGTTTTGAGCATGCCGTGTGTGTGTGTGTGTGTGTGTGTGTGTGTGTGTGTGTGTGTGTGTTTATATAAAAGATGGGTTTATGTAATCAGCCTATGTCAGTGTAAGACTGTTCCATGCAGGACCGGCAGATGGCGTGGTGGTTAAGGGCACTGGACTCCCACACAGCCGACTGTGGTTTGAGTCATGGACCTGGTAGCTTACTTTCTCACTTTCTCTCTCTCTCTCTCCCTCTCTCACTTTCTCACTCTCTCACTCTGTCTCTCTCTGGTGAAATGAAAAGGAATAAATAAATAAAAACAGTTAAATAATTTTTTTTTGGAGAGGTTTTTGCTATAGGGTGCGTGCGCTCACCAGACAGAGAGAGACAGAGAGACAGAAAGCAAGAAATCACCCCCCAGAGGGGATGGCCACGCCGCCATCCCTTCTCCTCCATTCTCCTCTTGGGAATTTGGGTGTGCACACACACGCGCCCGGTGTGAGTTTTAAGCCACCAGGTCTGGGATGCGAACCGCGGTCGACTACATGGGAGTCCAGTTAGCCATTACGCTAACTGCTGGTCCCAATAAAATATTTTTTTAAAAAATGAAGAAAAAAAAAACTATTCCATGCTATCTGGACCCTGGAGGTTTCATTGATCTCAACACTGCTTCGCCATTAGCTAAACAGTTTAACTCCTTCAGACTTCTTCAAGCCTACATTTAAAAAGAGGCCCGATATAGGCCAGCCAGTGGAGTGGTGGGTAAGGGGACTGAATCCTATATGCCTGACTGTATGGTTTGAGTACCAGTCTCAGCAGCCTGAAAAGCACACTGGGCACGTACATATGTGTCCCAAAATCCCAGGAGAAGAATAGAGAAGGGATTGTGGTGTGGCCATCCCTCCTGGGGGGTGTTTTCTCACTTTCCCTCTCTTCCTGTGTATCTCTATGTAGCACATACACCCTGTGGCAATTTTTTTAAAATGTGTTTAAACAAAAAACCCACTAGCGTGTAAGCATCCCTTATGGGGTAGTTGATCGACAGCCTGTTCCAGGTGCCAGATTTGTTAGGATGTTTATTCAGGTGTATGTCATCTTAGACTTGGTGTAAATACAGGGGTACTTCAGAAAATTTGTGAAAAAATGGTATTATAATACGGGTTTAATTTGATCCAAAATTCTTTTGACATCTATGCAGTTTTTCATGATACACATATTCCATGGACTTGTGTGTGTGTGTGTGTGTGTGTGTGTGTGTTTGTGTGTGAGACTAGAGGGCATTTGAGCTTACCTGAGAGAGAGAAGAGGAGAAAGCCCCCACCCCACCCCATGGGGAAAGGTCATGCCCTTCTCCTTGGTCTATCTCTCTTTTTGGAATTTTGGGAATAAATGCACATACACACGTGTGTGCCAGCACACACACACCCCTACACTCAGCTGGCGTGTTTCTTGAACCTCTGAGTCTGGGACTCAAATCGTACTATTGGCCAGATGGGACCCGGCTGCCTTAACTATCCTGCCAGGAAGCAGGTCCCTACCACAGAATTGTGTTTGGTTAAGAAAACTAATCTAGTCATCTCTGCATCATGCAAAGTATTGGTTTTTTTAGAGGTTTTTGCCACAGGGCACATGCACTCGCCAGACAGACAGACAGAGACAGAGAGACAGAAAGCGAGAAATCACCCCCCAGAGGGGATGGTCACGCCGCAATCCCTTCTCCTCCATTCTCCTCTCGAGATCTTGGGCACACATGCACACGCACCCGGCATGAGTTTTAAGCCACCGGGTCCAGGACACAAACCATGGTCAACTATGTGGGAGTCCAGCGACATAGCCATTACGCTAACTGTTGGTCCCAGCAAAGTTTTGTAGATAATATTGGCAAATGTTAACTATGATTTAGGTGTTCTTTCCAGAGTTTATTAGGGAAATTCGTTTTTTGTTTTTTGGGGGTTCTTTTTTGCTATAGGGCGCATATGCTCACTGGAGAGATACAGAAAGCAAGAAATCATCCCCCGTGGGGGATGGCCATGCCACAATCCTTTCTCCTCTTGCGAAACATGCACACATACACTCCTAGAGTGAGTTTTAAGCTACCAGGTTCGGGACGTGAACTGCAGTCGACTATGTGGGAGTCCAGCGACATAAAATTATGCTATCTGCTGGTCCCATATTCTTTTTTTTTTTTTTTTGAGAGGTTTTTGCTACAGGGCGCATTTGCTCACCAGAAAGACAGAGAGAGACAGAGAGACACCAAGCGAGAAATCATCCCCTGGGGAGATTGCCACACTACAATCCCTTCTCCTCTTGGGATCTTGGGCACGCACACACAGCACCCGGCATGAGTTTAAGCCACTGGGTCTGGTACTCGAACCACGGTCGACTACATGGGAGTTCAGCAATATAGCCATTACGCTAACTGCTGGTCCCCCCATATTAATTCTTAAGTTTGCTGTTTAATTAGGCAGATAAGACGGGCTAACTTTACTGGTCTATCCTTGTTGTCCACAAGAGGATGCTCTCTCCCCTTTAACAGGTTCTAAGTTTCAATAGCCAATGTAGGTTAGTATTGGAGGATTGAATGTATTCCGGTTGGGTACAGAAAAATCTTAATCATCAGTTTTTAGTGAAAGGGGCCGTATTTTTCCCTTTACAGGTAACATCCCACAACAAGGAACGGCGTTCCAAACGGGATGAAAAACTAGATAAAAAATCTCAAGCCATGGAGGAGCTGAAAGCAGAGAGAGAAAAACGGAAGAACAGAACAGGCAAGTGGGGAAAATATAATGACTCTTTTGTGTAACTTGCCCGCCTGGTGTGTAATTTAACCCCTTCTCCCCCTTTTGATACCATAGGATATGTATGTTTAAAAGAGAGATTAGAGAGAAAGCATCCCCAGTGGGGCTTGATCACAGCAAAGTCCTTTTTGCTCCATTTTGCCGTCCTGTTAGTATTCTGGGCACATAAAAGTACCCAATGAGTTTTTCAAAATGCTAGGACCAGGACTTGAACCTTGGTTGGCCATGGGGATCCAACTTCCTCTGTGCAGTGCTTAACTGCTGTGCTATGGGGCTAGACCCTTTTCTTCTTTTTAAGCCCTTTATTATGGAAACTTCCAAATATGTACCAAGACTAGCGTAGTGACCTTTCATGAACTCTCATTCAACCTTGACAATCAGCTCATGCCAGTCTTGTCAGATAGTACTTTTCTCTTCCATCCCATTAGGAAGTAAATTCCGGCACCATTATACTGCAACTGTAATGATTTCACTATCTCTCTCTAAAAGATAAGGACTGTTCTTTTAAACCTAACTACAATATCATTTCACATCTGAAAATATAGTAATAGTGAGGGCCAGCAGGTGATATGGTAGGTAAGGTGCTAGAGTCCCACGTGGCTGACCACAGTTCAAGTTTTGGACCTAGTGACTTGAAAATCATGCTGGGTGGGGCAGGCAGGTGGTGTGATGGTTAAGGGTGCTGGACTCCCACATGACCGACTGTGGTTCGAGTCCCAGACCGGCAACTGCTTTCTCACTTTCCCTCCCTCTTTCTCTGTCTCACTCTGCCCATCTCTGATCAAATTTAAAACAAACAAACAAACAAACAAACAAAAACAACTACATAAAGTTAAGTCTTTTTTTTTTGAGAGAGAGAGGTTTTTGCTATAGGGCACATGTGCTCACCAGAAAGACAGAGAGACAGAAAGCAAGAAATCACTCCTCAGGGGGGATGGCCATGCTGCAATCCCTTCTCCTCCATTCTCCTCTCGGGATCTTGGGCACGCACGCACACACGCCCGGCGTGAGTTTAAGCCACTGGGTCTGGGGCTCAAGCCTCGGTCGACTACATGAAAGTCCAGTGACATAGCCATTACGTCAACTGCTGGTCCCAATAAAATAATTCTTAAAAAAATAAAACATAATACAATCACACTGGGTGTGTGTGCATGAATGCCCAAATTCTTGAGAAGAGAATGGAGGAGAAGAGACTGTGTAATGGCCATCCCCCTGGGGAGTGATTTCTCACTTGACTTCTCTCTGTTTCTCTCCAGTAGGTTCATGCATCCTGGGGATAAAAATAGGAATTGGGAATCCCTTAACATTGTCAAGTAGCCAATGTTCAAAATTCCTCTATTTGTTTTACAGTTTTTAAAAATATAGTAATTTGGTCATTTGAATCATGACATTGAGTAGGGTCAGCATGTTGTGCTTCATTAGTACATCCTGTATGTCACTTAATCTGTAGTTTTTCTTCTTACCTCTTCCCAGCCCAACCTTCTACACCTTATTTGCTTAAGAAACTGGGTTAATTGTCTTACAGTTTCTCAGAGAAGCTGACTGTACCCCATTGGTGGTATTGAATGTGCCCCTCTAGTCCCTTAAATTTTCTGTAAATTGGTGGTTAGAGAATTGGTCAAATGTGGGCTTATTCTGTTTGTTTATTTGTTGGAGAAGGCTAATTGTTCAGAGTGGTACAGATTTCCATCAACAGACAGGTATTATGTCTTACTTTGTGATGATTAATGATGCTAAGCATTTTCCCATGTGTTTATTGTCCATTTCTTTGTTTTCTTTTTAATATTTATTTATTTATTATTTATTCATTCATTTATTTTAATTTTACCAGAGAGAAACACACACACACACACACACACACACACACACACACACAGAGAAAGAGAGAGAAAGCAAGCCACCAGGTCCAGGACTCAAACCGTGGTCAGCCATGTGGGAATATCCAGCACCTTAACCACCATGCCACCTGCCAGTTCTCCATTTCTGCATTTTCTTTAGGGAATTGTTTATTCAAGTCCTTTGCCCTTTTTTTTAGGCAAGTTGCGCATGTGCTCACCAGAAAGACAGAGAGAGACAGAGAGACAGAAAGCAAGGAATCATCCCCCCAAGGGGATGGCCACACCACAGTCCCTTCTCCTCCATCCTCCTCTCAGTTTTGGGCATGCACACACATGCGCCCGGCCTGAGTTTAAGCCACTTGAACCATGGTCAACTACGTGGGAGTCCAGCAACATAGCCGTTATGCCAACTGCTGGTCCCATGCTTAGTGTGCTTTTCAAACCCCAGGATCTAGGAATCAAACTGTGCAGTTGGAGTTGGCCATGTGGGACCCACCCGCTTTACCCACCATGCCAGCTGGCTGGCTCTTGGGTTGCCTTTTTATTCTGTTGATGTGTCCGTTGATACACAAAAGTTTTTTAATTTTGAGAGAGTATATTTAAATTTTGTAACCTATACTTTTGGTATCATATCCAAAACATCATTACCAAATCTAATGAAGCTTTTCTGCTTTATTTCTAACTCAAGTTTGTTTGTTTTTTTTACTTTTTAAGAATTATTTTATTTAACTTTATTTTTAAAAGAATTATTTTGTTTTTTATTTATTCATTCATTTATTTCATTTTTTTATTTTGACCAGAGAGGGACAGAGCAAGAGAGAAGGAGAGAGTGGGAAGTGAGAGAGCAAACCTTCAGGTCTAGGACTTGAACCATGGTCAGCCATGTGGGAGTCCAGCATCCCTAACCACCACGCCACCTGTCCCCCTCCCTCCCCCCATTTCCTCTTACAGGCAAAACTAAGAAGGAGTTGGCGGGGGGGGGAGTGAGAAAGAAAGCCGCCAAGTCTGGGACTCAAACCGCAGTCAGCCATGTCAGTCTAGCCACCCTTAAACACCACACCACCTGCCAGCCCCTTGAACAGTTATTTCATTTGGGACCAACAGTTGCTGGACGTAACCATGTAGTCAACTGCGGTTCGAATCCCAGACCTGGTGACTTAAAATTCATGCTGGGCATGTGTATGCATGCCCAAGATCCTGACAAGAGAATGGATTGCAGCATGGCTATACCCCCAGGGGTTGGTTTCTCTCTGTCTGTCTGTCTCTGTCTCTCCAGCAAACACATACTCCCTATAGCAAAAATCTCTCTAAAAAAAAAAATTCTTTTATTTTATTCATCATCATTATTATTTTTTAAATTTGACCAGAGAGAGGGAAAGTGAGAAAGCACGCTGCCCTTTCCAGGACTAGAACTGGCAGTCAGCCATGTGGGAGTCCAGTAATATCCCAACCAACTGCTTACCCCTACCCCTACCATCTGCCAGCTCTTTTAACTAGAGTTTTATAATTTTGTTCTTACATATAATTTTCGTTTCATTTTGAATTAAGCTTTGAATTAAGCTTTTTTTTTTTTTTTTTTTGCATATGGATAACCAGTTTTCCCAGCATCATTTGTTGAAGACTGTTATTTGCCATTGAATGGTATTAGCACCCTTGTCAAAAAATAATTTAACCATGGGGACCAGCAGGTGGCATGGTGGTTAAAGCACTGGACACTCCCCAATTGCTGA